AAAACTTTTAAAATTTATGTACATATGTATACATAAACATTTTCGAGTTATGCTATTTGCATATGTAAATATTCTTGTATGTTTGTAAACATTGAGAATTTAAGTTTTTGGTATTTATCTCGTCGTTTTTTATATACTTGGAATTAGTGACTTGTTCATTTTACGCAGAAAATTGGTGTGAAAAACAATTTACCTCACTTTTTTGTAAGTAGAATGTATTTTTGCAAAATAATGTTTCGGGCCCAATTACGTGATTTAGAAACAATGTTTATTTCTCAGAAAAATTGAGCTTTTACACTACATGTGCTGATGAAAGATTTATACATTATACAAAAGTAGTGACTTTTAATTTGTGACTTTTAGCTGGAAGAGATAATCACTCAACGTTGCTAGATAACGCCTATGCAGCAATTCTAAAAATACATTAGCACAGAGTACATACATCTGTACGAGTACATTGGCAGGTAGTTCCATAGAAAAGTTACAGCACTCGCATATCTCATCATGTAAATTAAAATAAAGTTTTCTATATAGAAAGGGAAATTCTATTGAAACTTGCAAATACATTTTAATGGTTTTTCTACAAAAGTTTATCAGTCTACGTGAGATTTGAGAGCGAAGCATTTTGAATAATATTTCACAAGTTTTGTAATTTGTAATTTGTGTGCTTGTAAATAACAGTCTTAATTTCATGACCCATGCAATGCAGATTCTCGTTTTGAGAATAATACTTTAACTCGCTTTAAGAACCGTTCTTTTTTCTTCATGAAACTGCTCATTTGTCGGAACAGCCGATATCGAACCACTAAAGCATACTCGTATGGCTGCTATTGTATTTAAACTGACTGATTAAAATAAAGATAAAGATCTTAATTAAATATATATATTTTTTAATATTGTATTAAGTAACCTTAATTCGATTTGAGGTTTGTTTATATCATAAAAAGCGGCTAGAAAGAATTAGCAAACCGTTTTACGTTGGTTGCAAACCGTTGTTCGCTTACGTTTTCAGACTTAATTATACATAAAATTGCTGTAAGAAATGCACTTGTGAAGGATATTATAGCCTCGGTGCAGCCGAAGTTAAATTATTTTTGGTGGGTTTTTATTGCCAACAAATTTCAAGGTTTCGTGTAAAAAAAACAAAATTTAAAATCAAATTCAGGGCTTCCTACACGAACCAAGGGGAGAACTTTATAGTTCATTACAAACACAAAACTTTAAACTCTACTGACTCGGTGTAAAGTAAACGTAATAATAATTATCTATCCATTCGAGATGCGACATTGGGAGTATAATCCAATCGTAGTACTATGTTAAGATCACATTCATTTAATTTGACACTCATGGTATGCTATAGGAGGTTCAACCCTTAGATTTCTTACTGATATTTATATTTGTGCAAGCATGGACTGGTGAAACAGTGCAGGTTAGATGTTTTCACCGGGCCGGCCCGAGACAATTTATCGCCCCTTCTAAGCCTATTTTACGTTAACAACAAAATTTACATTGTTGTTTATTAAAATACTTTTTATAGTCTCTATTGAGCCCGTTTCAATTTACAATTAAACATTTAACAAAGTTGATTGATTTGTATCTTAAAGCCGAAAATCAGTTGACTTAAAGTTTTTCGTCCTTGATCGATTTATATAATCCAATTATTTGTTATTTCTTATAGTAAGAAAATATGTATTATGCGTAAAACACTATAATAAGATCATGTTGACTCGATAATAAAGGTCAAAGTTCAGTCTCTAAAGTAGCCATATGTTATACCAGAATTTAGAATATGTTTTCGAAAAGCTATGGAAATATGTTTGAAAACAAAAGTAGAAGACTTTGCCAAAAAAACGACGTGTACACAAGTGTATACAATATATTTCATTCAAGTATTTAGGGTGGTATGAGTGAAAACGACCAACGGACACCGTCCGTAAATTTCAACATAATGGAAAAAAACTAGAGAAAGATTTTCAGACAAAAAAAAAAATTGTACAATATAAATATAATATATAAAACTGAAACGCTTATGGCCGATTCACATACAACTTTCCTAGCTTCGCTTGACAATTCATATTATAACAACAAAATGAAGAAAGAAAAGATTATTTCAGAATGAATGCTTTGCTTTCCGTGCTAGTTGTGGCAGTTCTTCAAGATTCGCATAAAAAGTATATAGCCAACTTACTAATTATATATGTATGTGTTATCTTTCTTTATTTACTGAATAATCACTAAGTGGCACTCGAAATTCGCTAGGCATTTCGGCTTTGGATTGAAGTTTTTCTTTTATTATACTCTCGCAACATGTTGCACAGTATAATATAATGTATAATAGTTTTGTTCCCCTAACCGTTGTTTGTGTCACCTAAAACTAATCGAGATAGATCTGGAGTTATATAAATGTATATACTATAAATGATCAGTGTAACGAGACGAGTTGAAATCAGAGTGATTGTCTGTCCGCGCAAGAAATAATTTGAGTAAAAATTGAGATATCTTGTTGAAACTTGGTATTTTTAGCATTTCTTTATACCATACACTGTGAAAATGGATAAAATCAGATAATAATCCCGCCCACTCCCCATATAACGGTTATGTTGAAAGTTATTAAAAGTGCCATAACTCAATGATTAGGGAAGGGCTTTATGGTAGTCGGTGTAAAAATTGTGTAATGGGCATGGCACCGCGCAATTTTAAGTGAAACTTTATATCTCAGGAACTACTAGCCCAATTTCAACTTTGGTGTGTGACGTTACTCAATTATTACTATTATACGCTAAGAAAATGGGCGAAATCGGTTGACAACCACACCCTAATTCTTTCACTTTACGTTGTACAAATCAAACATCAATGAAGTTATTAGAGTAAAACTTTGCACAAAGTATGTCCTCACGGTATTTAATCTGAAGCCCAAAAAGTGTTGAAATCGGTCTGTAACTTTTCAAGGACCCAGACACCAAATATGTGGGCGCCAGTGCATATGGCCGATTTTTTGACGAAAATATCGGTCAGTCTGTGTGTTATAGTGTTAAAATTCGCGTAGAATGGTATTATCGGGTCAATACTTTTCTTAGCTCCCATATACTCAATATAAATACTTTAAACTTTATACTGCATCTATCCGTCAATATGTAGGAAATCTTAATGAATTTCTGAGAGAATCTCTTTCTAATAATAGTGTATTTGCTTGCCTGTAATTGTAAACCATGGATGCAATACTCCCTACTTTTAATTAAAATATATAACTAAATAACTAACTTGCTTTTTTTTATAATTTTTTTATTTGATAATTTAAGCTATCAAGTGCTTTCATATAACTCAACCTTTTATTTTAAGAAAATTTGTAGCGCTTGGAAAGTTTTATATTTTTTATACCCTGAACAGGGTATATTAAATTTGCCACGAAGTTTGTAACACCAAGAAGGAAACGTCGGAGGCCCTATAAAATATATACATAAATGATCAGCATGGTGAGCTGAGTTGATTTAGCCATGTCCGTCCGTCTGTCCGTCAGTATATATGCAAACTCGCCCCTCAGTTTTTAAGCTATCGATCTGAAATTTTGCACCTGTCTTTTTCTCAATAAGAAGCTGCTCATTTATCGGAACGGAACCACTATAGCATATAGCTGCCATACAAACTGAACAATCGGAAGCAAGTCTTTGTATGGGAAACTTTTTTATTTGTAGTAATATCTTCACGAAATTCGGCATGAGTTATTTTCTAAAGCAGCAATGTAATTTCCGAAGATATTGTTTAGATCGGATGACTATAGCATATAGCTGCCATACAAACTGAACGATCGGAATCAAGTACCTGCATGGAAAACTTTTTTATTTGACGAGGCATCTTCACGAAATTAGATCGGAATCAAGTTATTGTAAGGAACCTTTGTATCTACACATTCCCATTACATGGGAATATATGTGTCGCGTCCCAAGTACAGACAATTTTGTTTTATGTGTGCCGGTGTAGTTAGTGGCTGCTGTTTCACATATGTAAATGTTGGCTCTGTTTACTCAAAACATGTAGTAAAAAAAAGGCCTTAAACACAGTATTTGATGACATTGGAATAATTACTTGCCAGTCATAACGGTGATAATTACTATATAACTACTAATGTTCTTAAGTTCGAGTGATTTAGACTAGAATACCTAGGATTGATATATGGTTAACTGTTTCTACGACCTTCCTTTAGAAATTTTCAGATTTTCAGATCGGTTTTAAGCTTCTAGATATATTTGTTAGATATGTGTGTATAATAATCTTAATGTTAGCCTAAGCGAACAGTTCGTCTTGAGTTTAATCGGATAGTTTGTATAGCAGCTATATGCTATAACGGTCTGATATTGGTGGTTTCGAAAAATGATTAGCTTCTTGAGGAGAAAAGGAAGGTATGCAAAATTTCAGATCGTTATCTCGAAAATTGGGGATTAGTCCCGGTTATACAGACCGGCCGTCAGCAAGACGAACATGTCGATTATATTATATACTTGTATAATACATATATACATGTAGACTATAGAGTCTCCGATGTCTCCTTATGAGCGTTACAAATTTAATATACCCAATTCAGGTTATAATTATGAGATGCGATTTTGCGGCAGGCATCTTTTAATTTTTGCAAAAAATTTGAATACTTCACCGAAAGCAAAAATACCGGCTCAGAATATTATTGAAATAGGTCTTAAATTGTTGGGTTATCTTTAAACTTATCTCTATATTCATATGCACATACATATGTATCTATATACATATGTATATCAAAAGGTAATTTATTCATTGTATAACATGTCACCTTAGGACAATTTCATAACCTTAAAAAGAAAAAAACTTTTTCCGCTTTGTGTTGATTTTTGTAGTTTATAAAAAGCTTTTAAGAGTTTTCAATTTATGTGCGACTCTACAATATGCTACATGCATTGCCTTATAGAACTAATATTAATTTATATAAAAATGCTAATAATGTATAAAAGTTATGATAATATTTTACTCACTTTATTGTTCTTTAGTAACTTTGCTCTGCTTTTTATGGTGAATAAAAAGTTCTCGGTATTATTCGTGAGCGCAAAAAGTCGTATTTTTTTGTTACAAATGCGTTGGATTATATGAAAATAATTAATTTATATTCTATTTAAGTTACACTTTTTTTTTGCCAAAATCACAGTATTTATTTTTACGAACGATTTCTGTTTTCCAAATTTGGTGCCGCTTAGTAAGTTTTTTATTCTTATTTATTTATTTTTTTGTAATTTTTTGTATTGTTTTTTTTTGTATTTTTGTTTTTTTGAAACAAAAGCACTATTTTTTATTGTATTTGCTGTGTGTGATTTTGTGTGTATTTTGTAATCGTTAGTACGCGTTAGGCTAGGTCAGTGCGCGCGTTGCGGGAGCTTCGAGATCAAACACCAAAATATTTAATGCGAAATTTTCGCAACGAAATTGAAAATATTTTTTTTCTGCTTTTAAATGTTCGCCAAAAATGTTCGAGAATTTAAAATTCTAAGATAATTGCTTCGACTGCGTGTGAAAGCTGCTCTGATTTACTTTTAAATAATAATTTTATTTCTTATATTCTCTGTCGACTTTTGCAGGTTAATGTCCTTTGGCACGTGTGCTGTGTGCAACGAGAAGAAGAAGAAATGGTAGAAACAGAAAAAACGAGTGCAAGGCGATTATCAGTTCTTTGATGCTTAGTTGTGGCAAGCAAGTTAAATGCAAACAACAATATAATTTTTTCTCGGACTCAAAACGCTGCTAAACTTCTCAGTGCTTCGGGTGAGTTTTAGCTAATCTATATTTAATTTTTCAGTTATTTAGTTGCTTTAATTATATATTTTTCTCTAATTTGGTCTTCGCTTATCGGGAATGTGTCTATTTTTAAAATTTGCAAGTATCAGTGTTTGTGTGTGTTAAATTCACCTTCTTTTTGCTCTGCTCGATTTGGTTCCCTAAATTTGCTTTCATGCATTAGCTTCAGTCGTGGTTTGCGTTGCTGTCATTGCTCCTCTCGCTTAATTCTTAATTATTATGAATGCTCTTCTGACGTTGTTCACTTTAAATTTAGCAATTTATGCAGCGTTTATGTGCCTTCCGGCTACGGTGTGACGTGCAGGATTCTTATTACAATTGCTTGCCTTGCAAATGATCGCCACAAATCGTATATGTTGCTATAGTTGTTGTTGCTGTTTCGACTGCAATTGCCGCTGCACTGAAATCGCCAATAATCCAGCCAGTCAAAAACGTATTGATAAAAGTAATCCAACAACGGTTTCACCATTACACTACAGTCACCGATTGACCCGTTTGTCGTAGCTGTGGTTATTGTTGTTTTCGTCTCAATATTATTACTTCTATCACACAGTATTATTGCTGCTGGCACTTTAGTATCTACTCCCTCTTATGTACACAACTTTTTCCTTCCTTTTGTATTTTTTCAATTAAAGGGATGCGTGTTTTTAGCTTTTTTTATGTGTCCTTAGTAATTTAACATTGGGTTACGTTGGAAAATCACCGCTTCTTCAATTAAAAAAATCGAAAGTGAAATGCTATGCGAAATTCACACTATCGAAAATTAGCTGTGTATTGCGTTTATGGGCGCCGCTTTTCACTTGCAACAATAATTAACCGCAATCACGTGACCTTTAGTGATAAGTATGTGTACTCGCGTCGAACTCGTGTTTACCGTTTGCAATTTAAATTATGCATAGGGCACGTGTCGCTGGTGATCTGGTGATCGCTCAGTGTGTGTTTCATGTAGTCAAGCAAAGAGTTCCAATAATTGCTGTTCAATAATGATTACTTTACTTTTTATATGTAATAACATACAGTTAAAGTTAAAAGTTCCGGTGTACACGTCTGTTCAACTGCGCTGCGTTCTACTTTATGCCGCGTTGTGTATTAATAACTTGTAATTTTCAGTTGAAATATCTGCATACATACTTCGATTGCATTACGATTATTTTGTATTATTTTTATATTCTTCAACTTATTTTTGCTTACATTTTCTCTCATTTACGCTAAAATACCGGTATTAACAAGCGCAAGCGCGTTTAAATTAAAATAAAAAGTAGAAAACTGCAGCAGTTCTTAAACCCGATTGCCGCATCTGCAAGATAGCTTTCCTTAAATTTTTCTGTTTGTTTGTTTTTTTCTCTTTTCTTTCTCGTCTGTCTGCTGGCGTTTGGCTTTCGAATGAATTTGTTTCATTTACCGCCTCTTAGGGTCGTTTTATTCGCATTCACATAAATAACTTTACATAATGTACATGCTATACATATGTATGAAGATACACATACCTAAATATACGTTTATTCATTCAAATGCTTTTATTTGCGTTTGTTTAGCATTTCTTCAGCCAGCTCGTATGAATTTATCGACTTTGTGTGCGTTTATTTAGATCTTATGGCTACTATAATGTTATTGTTTTCTTTTCCTTTGGCTTTTGTATGAATTTTTTTCGTAGACCTTTTATTTGCGCGTTCACCGATCTTCACAACAATTCTCAAACAGCTCTGAATACCAACTGAGGCGATTCTATATGAAGCGATACGTTGTTCTGTGGGCTGCTGCTTTGTATAGTGCCGTGCTTTTGCGCCTCACTTTGTTTGTGCGCTCACAGATATACAACGTATTTGTATCTATGCATGCCTTTAAGCACATATGTATGTATGTGTGTATGTTTTTGTGACTTGCGGTTGAAATAAATACCATACAAAAGATACTTTGTATATGATGTGATGTGATCGCGTGAAATCAACATCACAAGTTGATCTTTTCAAGCTTTTTAACATTCTCTGCTTTAGCGAAAATCGTGAAGACTGCAGCTTTGAGCTTTCTGTTAAATTTCTGCTTTGCTTACAAAGTTTTTTTTAAACGCACAAATTATTTGAAATAAACACTGTTAATTGTTGACTAAGGAAATGGTGAAAGCGAGTTTTCCTGAATGTAACAAAGCAATTTCATAGTTTAAAAGCTTTTTTTTAACCTTTGATGAGATATATGTATATATATTTAACCTGCAAGGAGACTGTACAACTTCATCTTTCAAAAATTTTGGAAATTACACATTCTTCCCCAACGTGAGACGGTTTGTGGGCATAAAAATTCAATTTTCCCAAAATCGAAATTTTAAAATTGTAAAATTAATTTCTAATCTTAGAATCTGAATTAAAATTAAAAAAATATTTTTTAATTCAAAAATTGAAGTAACAAATAAAAACATTATTTTTTACATCAAAAGCAGGAATGAAAGAAAAAATTTACTAAAAAACTATAATTAACATTAATTAAATGTAAATACGACCAAAAGTGCTAAACTATGTTGATATTTTATAAAAATTAAGCTTTCCTTTTTAAAATATCATCAAAATGGTAGAACATGAGTACGCAAGCGCGAAAAAATTAAAAATTCAAAAAGGATTAAAATTTTCATTTCTTATTTTTAATCTTATTTTTGAGATTGACAACTTATTTTTAATTTTATAATCTGGTATTCGAGATTAGATAGTTGAAAGTTGTTTTTATTTTATATCTTCGGGATTAAAAAAAAATAAAAAAATTATTGGAATGTTAATTCAATTGTCTTTTTAATGCATTATATGCAACCCTGTTTGTGAGTATTTTGATTAGTTGAACACAGATTTACTGTACTTTATATATTTTTAAATAACTCCATTTTCTGAGCATAGCATTGACAAGTTTTAATATGAACTTGCTATAATTAGGTGTAGGCACGGGCATAGGGAACGTTTTGCATCAAAATTTTCTTTATATTTATAAAAAAATTAATCACATTAAAGATAAATATATAATTTTGTTTGTTGTTGATCAATCTACAGTTTTTATATAATCAATATTTAATGTAATATGCCATGCAAATGCTTACCTTATATTGTATATTGTCAAGGTGTAAGTGTTGCCACTGCAAAAAATTATCATGGGAATTTGCCTATTTACTGGCAATTTTTGAAATTTTCACTAGTGCTGCCTTTATCTATTTTTAACTATATACATAAAATCTTAGAATTTTCGAATATGGTATTACTCAAATTTTAATAGTTCAAAAAAAAAAAAATTATTAACAAGTATTTTTCAAATAACACAACTTTTTATTAAAACTTCTGTAAGTTTATCAAATTAAAGAATGTATAGATTTTGACAACTTCTGAAGACAACTCGCGTAGTTCCGCATAAGCACTGTTAGCAAAGTCTATGATTTTTCGTGAAAAGCTCGTAATCAGCAAACGCACATGATCAGTGTCAAATTATCGACAACTATCGCAAAAGGGTGCATCAGCTTAAAATGTGTTAAGTTGATTGTTTTACTTAGAATAGTTAGAAAATCTAATTTGGGTCAAATACCTACCGTTTCGTCCCAAAACTTGTTACATTACACCTATTTATTAGAAACCCTCGTCTCTATTCGCAAAAAACAGGTAACTTCGATTTTCACAAGCTTCTCTTGGTTTATTTTATCGATATTTTTGATAGTCAGGCTTCCTTTGTCATCAAAATTACCGGAATGGAAACCAAAATTGAACATTATAATCTGTTATAGTATCATGACCTTAAACACTATTGACATTTCTAGCCGCTTGGCTTGAATATTCGCCTTTATCGAAGAAGAACTAAAATATGGCGTATTTACTCTTTGCTGGTGTCCATCCTTGACGCGTACGTATACAATACCGAGTAAATCAATCACAAAACTATGAGAAGTTTTTTTAGTAAAAAATCTTTAATTTTTAACGCTTTCGATTATTTTTAATTTTTATCGGATCGCACTTATATAACGTGAGATACAGATTACTAAAGCCATCTATTGGAAAAATAATCGATCTTTTTTTATTAGACCTTTTATAGATATTCTCAAACAAGTCTTTGAAGTGATGTTGACGCATATTTAAATTATTGGCTGAGTTAATAATCGTGTTAAACAAAATTTGGGAAGAGTGCAACCCACACCAGTTTCCACAGTTGGCGTTGAATACAACAAAGGAATATTATATACTTTGAGTTTTAAACTATTAAATATGGTAATTTCTAAAAATAGTATTCGATGCAAGCAATGCAAAAATATAACCTATTTATTAGATCAAATTAAACACTAGTTTCTACATTGTTTATCAACCTCAAAAATAGTGCGAAATTATTCTTGTGGGTTATCCTAAAACCTTTAGTCAATGTAGTGAAACCTCCATATTCGCCAGACATGGCTCCCGGTGACTTTTTCCTTTTTCCAAAAATTAAGAGAAAATCGCTGAAAGAGCTAAAGTCTATCTCAAAAATCAAGTTTGAGAAGTGTTTCGTCGATTGGAAAAAGCGCTGGCAGAAGTACATAATATCGGTACACTTAAATCCAATTATAACATTTAATATCCACTCGTAACATTTAATATAGTAAACAGGTGAACATTTTTATTCAACAAGTTTAATTAATCTCAATAGTCGTGGTTTTACTAAACTGCAATAAAAAAAAAACTTCAATTCACTCCAAAATATTATGGAGAATATAAAACACAAACTCCATTCACTACAACAATGATTTTACGATTCATAATTTCTATGAATAACTACTTCCCGATTCCACATTTTCGTCTCATTTCCACAACTAGTTTTTTCAACGCAAAATTAATTAATTTTGTTTTGTTGCACTATAACTATTAGATGTGCTAATTTTTGGGTCTCCATATTAATTGACCCAATAAAACTACGCAACCGTTTTTTAAGTCATTCAACTGACAACTGGTTTGCGGCATCCAAATATGCACACATACTCTTATATACTTAAATATATTTGTGTTGGTTTGCTGCAGTAATCCAGAATGCTTTGATTTAATTATGCAAAAACACCAGTTTTAGAATTAAAAATTGAAAAAAGTGAAGTCATAGATGATAATTTAAACTTTTGATGGCTAAACAACTTGGCCATTAAATACTAAAAAAGGATATTCGACAAACTGGATTAGCAAAATGATAATTGGATAATCTTCCGCAACAACAACTTTTTTTTGTATTTCTTCATTCGTAGCTAAAAATTGAAATATTTGCTTTAAAACATTTTTGTATGCTTTATGCATAAATACTGCTAAGTATATTCATGATCATGCAAAGATCGTTGGTTATCACTGATCGTTTGATTGAAAAAACTGTACTTCAGATTTCTAATGAGAGCAAGAGAGAGTCAGTGAGTGTATTTTTTTTTAAATCAAAGAGTATGAGATAAATATTTTGAAGAATTCAGTATGTTTCCGCAAAAAACTTTTATACTAATATAGAAAATACAAATTTTATAAAAAGAAGCTTTTTCCGCTTAATACTGTAAAGTTGTTTATTATTACTATTATTATTATTATTATATTATTTAAAAATTGACATAACTGACATTTTAAAGTATTAGTTTAAATTGATAGTGTGCCCAAAAGTTAATCAGTTTCTTCAGTTTCATTTTTAATTTGTGGCTTAAATTGCGGCAAATGGTCGCCCCATGGATGAAAGCCTGTCTCATCAGCAACATAATGCAGTGTATATTTTATACCATCGGGTGCTATCCATGTCGAAAACCCGTCTACTCTGAGCGCTTTAGTATCTGCGCCAATATCCTTAAGTTCTGCACTCTCCTTACGTTCGATACCGTCACTAGTTTCAAAACTAAATAAATTAAGAAATTAAATTAATATTTTCGTAAAAGTATAAAAGTAATTCAGTGATATGCGAGTATTCAAATTTTCTAGAATATATTCCCTGAATAGATTTTAAACGGATAAAAAAAGCTCTGATGTTATTAGTATTATTTTAAACAGGTAAATTTATCCGCAAAGAATTTGAAGAAAAAATTATTGTATTTAACAAAACAAAAAAGTGAATTTTTATCCACTTGCAAGTCAGGAAAAACTTTTGTCTTTATGAATTGATGTAATAAATAAATATAAAATATGTACATTTAGCGTCAGCGCATCAGCATTAATTTTAAAAAATTTTGGATTCCCTTGATATTGTAGCCAATCTCCGGAAGAATATTAATTATGTCTAAACTTAACTCAAAACCAAAAACCATAACCCAAAAAAGTTTTGAGTATTTTCCTTTGAAAACTTCACAAACTCTTTATCAAATATGTATCTTCGGAATAAGAAGAAGTTTAAATAAAATATTTCATTTTTATATGAAAAAAAAATTATTGAAAATAAGTCGTTTTTTGCTCGACGAAACCCATGTACTTGTAATATCTTAAACTAAGTTAAAAAAATTTTGCAACTACGCTCATGTAACCGAAACTATTTTCCGGATCTTCTTCAAACTTTTTGAGAATATTGTCAAATATATGTACATTCGATATACGTATGATGTATGTACATTTTTTTTTAAATTTACAAGTGACAAGTAGATTTAACCCCTTAAGCGTGAGGGTGATAGAAATTGAAAAACTCTGATCAACATGTGAAACAAGCTTAGCATCTGGGTAAAATTTCAGCACAAATGCTTGAGCATAACTTATATTTCACTTTCTGTTTAAACATTTTTTTAAACAAATCTTTTTAATAAAGTCTTGAAACTGTTCCTGGAATATTTAAATTCAAATATCAACACAAAACACAAAGTGTTTGTATATAAGTTTATTACTTTATTTAATTATGTAAACATTTTTTAACGTTCTCACACATTGAGAACGAGTTTGGTTTATTTGGCCAAGTATTGAATAACACACACTTTTGCTACTTTTTTAAGTGAAATTATTTATAACAACTCTAAAACAGTAAAACAAGAAAATTAACATGAACACGGTACGAATGAAATGTATAGCATAAAACTTAAGAGAGAGCAAAGCTTTTATAATTTTTTATTTTATATTAAATTCTTTTTTTTTATTGAATTCATAATATCTCAAGAATAATGGAGCACACTTGTCAAAGTTACAAGTAGTTTTATATCTATCTTTGGAACGTTTTATATCAGATCATTTGCTGTTCAAAACTATAAAGCGTTTTTCCACAACTCACGTTTTCAAAGTTGGTAGTCATCAAAGCTTCAAAACTACTACACCGATCAATTGAAATTTTAAACACTATTTCTGTACAGAATTTATGTAGTAACACGGGAGAGTTATTTTTTAATTTCTTAGTATTTTTTAAAAACAGACTTTGCAAAAAATCACGTTTTTCTCAATGAAGTATTAAAACAAAATGAAAAATGGTCATTTCAAAAACCCTATTGGCATTAACTGTTAACCCTATTGGAAAAAACTGTTATCTAACAAATTGTCCTTGATTTTTTGATTTCAGATGATCCAGCACCAAGTTATACCAGGCACCGTAATTATACTTTTTTCCGAGATAAAATCGAATAAAGCTGCCACTTTTTAATATATCTCAAAAATGCGCAAATTTCGACCAACATTCTTCGAATGTCATAATTTAATGTACCATTGGTTTTAACAAAGGGATTTTAACTGGGTCGCCACCAAAAAATTCACAAAAACATGTGTGTTTTTACACGAATTTACTTTTCACCCCACTTCAATTACCACTCGCGGTGAATTGCACAATGTGTTTAAGCTTTATAACGTCACAGCATAAAGTGTTTGAGCACTTTTCTTATCTATTATCTTAATCATCACTGTGCTGTGCTATTAAAAAACAGCTGATGAATTTGAGCCGATACGAGTGATTATCTTTTCAGAATATTTTAATTATTATTATTTGTTTTTTTTTTTTTCATTTTAATCTCACTGTTCATAAATTCATGTAACTTTCGATTCACTACTCGTTGTAATGCCGATTGCACATTATTCACATTGTATTTGTAGTTATTACTTTTTTTCTTTTGTTACCTAAAATCGTAACCATCTACTCCAATATTGTCAAAATCGTAACGCAACAGTCGTGCATTAGCCGAGTCGTCAATTGGTGCTGCGAAGGCGAGAGCAATTAATCCACAGATCGTTAGGATACTCAATGCAAACTTCATTTTATATTTTGTTATTGTATTTTGCTGTTTCGTTTAAAGTTTTATACAACACAAATTCGTTAAGTTCGTGCCTGTTGTGATCTCTTTTACGGTTTCTAACTAATGCACTATTTTTCCGTATGTTGTTCGCTTTTTATATGCACATTAATTCATGTGCAAAAAATAAGAAATAAAATTGCCAAAAATTACTATACATCGGTATATTTAAATAACTTAATAGAGTGCCCGAAAAACTTGTAGAAATACACAAATACACATTTTGCCATTTTAACGCCACGTGCTTGAAAAAAATATTTTATAGAAGAGATGAGCGCTATGATAAGTAGCAACAAGAAATCGCCAGTTGTGGGTAAAAGAATGCATAAAACAAATTTAGAGATAATCTGCGATTTTAAAACAAGTTAGCGAACTATTCTAAATGCGTTTGCATATTTTTACTATTTATATTTAAATGCAGTTATGTTCAAAGCGAAACAGATATGTTATATACATATATACACGCGACATAGGTACATATATATATTCACTTTTCTTACAAGTATTTCTAGTGTTAAGTATTCATGCGGATTCATGAAGTCACGACTGATCCAACTTGCAAAGCTAGAAACATTTCTAATGTCATTGTCGTCTCTCCTAAGTATGGATCAAAAAGACCGTCGCATATCGAGTAAGCGCGTTGAGCTTGCCAAAAATTTGTTGATACACCTAATATCAATTCCAGCCAATTCGCCCCAGTTCGCAAAAGGTATGACCACCGAGATGCTTCAACCTTAGTCATACGAAAGCCCCTGGAGGGAAAATGCCTTGATATTTCCACCTCACCTTCTTTCACGCAGTTTTGACTTCATTGCATGATTATCAAGAGGATAGTGCCTAGTTAGAACTCCTACCATTGCGGCGGTATAAACCTTGCTAAGAGCAAGTAATTCAATGCAACCGGCTTTCATATGACAGTTATGTTCAAAAATACGAAAGAAGCGATAAATATTTAACCAATAACGCCATAAAACGTTAATTTAATGCTATAAATCAAGCTTTTTTTATTATCTTTGTATTTGTATCTCATATACTACCTATACATAAATTTAAATGGCAATATGTATATAATGTTGTGCGTATATGTATACGCATCCAATAAAATTTAAATTCACTGAGCCGTGTGTCGATATTTTATGAAAGAAAAGTAAAAGACATTCATTTATTATTTTATTATCTTAGAAAGTAAATCTTAAAAAATTTGGTCGACAAACGTCTAAAGCTAGTGAAAACCAAGTATAATACTTTGGAACCAAGCAAAGAAAACCTAAGAAATATTTAAATTAAATACTTATACTAACGTTTGGTATTTCCGCATTTTTATTAGTAATCTAAGCTTTTATTTAAAGCGATTCGTTCTTTAAGCTTTTTAACCTTAATGACTTGTGCACCATCTTACGTAACTTTAAACCCGCTGACTATTTTTTTCCTTAGAGGCTTAACGCTTCTAATTATTTACCTTATCTATATTTGCTTAATTTAACTACTTTCACTTATATAAAATTCCACTAACTTTATCTGATACATCGGAAAGAGATAATGATTATATTTATGGAATTATAACTGTAGATACTTTTTTAAATGTTTTCGCTTTTTAAGCTAAAGCTTTTATTTTTATCTCTCTTACACTTACTTTTTAAACTCTCTAGATTGAACTATTCCTAAGTAATTCGGCTTTTTAATAACAATACCAATTTTTTTTCTTTCCGGTCTGCACGGAAGTTAACAAAAGCTCACAACATATTGTCCAACACTAAGCTATTCGTTTAGCAGCTTTTTAAAAAGCTTCACATTTAACGCATGAACGAACGGTTAAAATTGAATTTATTATAGGTCTTCTGGATGTGGATAAATAAAGAAATGTTTGAAATCAACATTATCCAGTATTTTTTCGTTTTTATTTTTACTGTTGCGAATTTCTTTTTATAAGCCTTAAGTACTTATTTTGCTAGCAAGTCTTAAAAATATTAATATCCCGTTTATTATTTTGTTTCAAAAAGCACATTCCTAGAATCATCGTCGACGGTCGAAAAAAGATTGATTCCGTAGCCGCCAGTTTTTATCAAAATATCAATTTTGAAAATTTTCTTAAACACTCAAATACATGTTTAATAAATCCTGAAAGAGCGAAGTTCGATTCCCTTTTCCTTACTCCTGGAATAAATTGTAAAAATTAAGCCTTTTTAAGTGCTTCTTAAGGGTTTAAGGGGTTTACATATTCACTTGTGAATATCAAAAAATTTATTTGCTATGCATATAAATTGAATATAATATGCACTCATATATGTGAAAATATTCTTCCGATTTTTGAAGTTGATCTGGCAAATAGTTTCGGCGATATGCGCGTATTTAAAAAGGGTTATATGGATTTCAAAGGTTTAAAAAGGGGTATTATAACAATTTTTTTAATATATACAATCGGATATTTTATTTAAACATTTCGGCATATAAAAGATAAATATTTAAACAGTATATTGTGACATTTTTATTTTAAAATTCCGAAAACTCAGCCATAGGTACCTCATCTTCCTTGACGTCTCAAAAAAGAAAAAGATACTCTTGCCGTGGACAGCATAGCTCAATACTGGTATATCTAAAATCAAAAACCTAAAAAATGTTGGTTTGTAAGTGAATATATCTTGTTACTGTACGGAGGAAAAAAATTAAAAATATTTACCGACTTTAAACAAAAAAAGAAAAAAAATTGGTCCAATTTTCGCCATGTATTGGTTCAAAAAAATTAATGGTTATAAAAAAAAATCCATCGTGAAAGGACTAGATAATGTTCTTTCAAAGATGTGTGCAAAGTTTGAACAAAACCGACTTCCGAAGGGTCCATCGCTTCGAATTTTACACGTATCGATTTGAAATTTTAGGAGAATATTTTAAACTTATTATATTATATTATACGATTTAATAATGCATAACAAAAAACGATGTTTTGAAAATTTCAAACCCTCCAAATCGCTTAACTTGGTGTAATCCGCTCCCAAAACTTTAAACGCATTTTTCTTGAAACGCATTTTTTCAGAGTTGGCGAAGGAAATTTTTCCAAAACTTTGTAATTGAAGTTTTTATATTTTCTCTTTACTTATCGAAGTGCACCCCTTAGCTTATATATATATACATACAAACAAATTAAATAAGCATTGGCAGTTTATTCTTGAAAATGCTCAAAACATTGAACATTTTTAATATGTATATGTATGTTGTTTTAAATTACATACCATAGTACAATTAACATTTAGACATATATACTATAACTCTATGTTTATTTATATACTTATGTATGTACAAACTTATGTACTTAGTGTATTTATCTGCAAACAAGTAATCATGTAATATGTATATGTATGTATTCATGCGACTGTCTACACCAATTCAGCTATTATGCCTTTATGATAATATAATATTTCTGCAGGAAATGCAATATACATATGTATATGTATTTGTAGACCAAAGATGCGAGTTTTTCATCCAACATTTTTTAATTCAAGAATTCGCAACCCTGTTCTAGACATGTACATACACATAACTATATGCGATTTCCATTAGTTATTACAATTTGCCTAAATTAGTTTACGATTATTATTTTTCTTCATTAAATTAACAAATGTGCCTATTAGTTAATTTTTTTTTTTCATTTGAAAACTAGACTAAAGTTGTCGAAAGCTCTATAACAAAAATATTTGTTGTAATAAGCGCTTTAACTGTTCAATGCCACATATTATAAATATAACTAAAATTTAATAGTTTCTGCTGCGAATATAAATATTAAGTCTATAAAAATATAAATACTTGTAGTTAATTATTAGCAACAAAAAATAAATTCAACTATAAACAATCTAGTCAATTCCTTTTTTCAATAATCCAAAGCTTTTAAGCTGCATACTTAAAAATAACAAGCTGTGTGACGGTATAAAGTACATTAGTAGTTAAACAATTTCATTTACTGCGACAATAGATCACGCCTTCACTTTTACTAGAGTTGTCTATTCTCACCCTAACGCTTCACACCGAATAAATTTGGTATTGATTTGATTTTCTTACGTGAACAATTCAAATAATCTTTATACATATCCGAGCGCAAATAACGGGAATATGAATCGCTCTTCATAAGGTGATAAACATGCGCAGCGGCCACATCGAAGCACCAGCGATTCGGACCATTCACGGCATTGACGGCCTCACGTGCCAATTCCACCGATTTCGAGTCGACATTCACCGGACAGGGTGCATCGGGTGCGAGAAACTCTTGCCAGATTTTGTGTATTGCTTCTTTGATTTCAGATTGTGGTAGTGTTTTCATCTGTTGCACTGACTCCCAAAACCTGTTCAATAGAATAGAGAATATTATTTGTAGTAATGGTTGTTTGTCTGCAATTTTATATTGACCGCTTACTTTAAATTCTCGCCACTGTACTCCTTTTCGAGAAATTTTGTGAATTGCTCACGTCCAACGGGATCGTTCAGTAGCTCACGTAAACTAAAGCCCCAGCGCTTTACATGACGTAACGGTACTTCTTTTCTGTAGGTGATAAATCAGTTTTTGGTATTATTATGAGATTTGTATTTGTATGTATTTTGTTTAGAAAACACTGAACAGTGTTTATTAGATTTGTCACGAATTTTGTAACATCCATAGGAAAACGTTCGAGTCCCCATAAATTGCAAACTTATGTACCCAAATAAGGCGTTGTGAGCGTAGCCCATTTAGTGATGCCCGTCTGTCAGTATATACGCGAACTAGTCCCTTAGTTTTTGAGATATCGATCTGAAATTTTGCCCACTTCCTTTTGTCCCTAAGAAGCTGCTCATTTGTGGTAACCACCGATATCCGATCACTATAGCTATAACTGCCATACAAAATGTCCGGTCAAAATCAAGTCTTTGTATGGAAGACTTTTGTATTTGACAAGATATCTTTACGAATTTTGACAGAGATTATTGCCTTAAACACCGCCACAATTTTTGAAGAAATTGTTTAGATCGGACTACTATAACATATAGCTACCATGCAAAGTCACCGATCAAAATCAAGTCTTTATATTAAAAATTTTTATATTTGACAATATACAATATCTTCCCGAAATTTATTCCGAGTGGACCACTATAGTATACTTCGTATTCAAAGTTAACGTTTTTTCTTGTTTTTTGTTTGAACATGTGAAATCGGTCCAAATTTCCATTAACATCGATATAAGATCTATTGATTACTACCGAATTCACCGAATAAACCTTTTTACTTATAATACCGCAATTACTTTTTTCTCAATACCCTTAACCATAACTACTTACGAGTTTCGTTCCGCATCCCACATTTCGGTGCTATCCGTTTGCCAAGGATTTGGCAACTCTGGTGATGTTATAAAGTAATCAAATTCATTGTATTGCTCGTAGTAGGCGACCAAACTGTGTTGTAAATATTAAAATTTGAAATTTAAGCAACAAACTATATTTAAACTGAATACTCCAATATGACTTACGCTTCGGCTGCCTTTGACACCTTTATTGTGCGCCGCTCGAGCTTTTGTTTGCGCAAACCAATCACACGCGTCACCTGCTCGACGGGATTCTTGGCCACAGCACCGCCGGAAGTGCCGCAGCCGTGACCGCCACGTCGATATGCTTTCTTTATATCGATTTCGGTTGTATTTACACAGCCTGGCATTGGTCGGTGCACATCCCAGAAGGCGCGCTCCTGTGAATCCAATACTTTGCGCTCGAGCTTATCACGTTTTTTGGCCACTTTGCTTTGTGACTCCGCCTATGGCAGAGTGAATAGAAATTATGCAAGGAAAATGTTAGATGTATATATGCTATCCACCTGCATGAATATGAATTCCCATTTGCGTGAGAACATCTTCTGAAGTTTGGCTAAGTTCTCCGCCTCGTAATCAGCCAATTCCAGTCGTGTTTTATTCTGCATCGTACGTTTGCACAGATACACGGCATAATCTGTGTTTTCAGGCTCCCAACAATTTGATGGCCAGAAATAGGGTGTTTGAAATCTGTGTGTGAAATTAAGTAAAATTTAGTATATACAATTTCTTATATAATATTTAAATTCAAGCATTTAATTGCATTTTAACTCACCTATAAAAGGTGCCATCGTTTTTCACAGTCAACTGATGATCATCGATGGGGAAAATGTAGCCGTGTGATGCAAGCAAATGCGCAAAATGCAATGCTTCCGTCACATCTTCAACATCTAAGTTCTTTAATATCCAAGCGACTAAATCTGCACCGGTAAAGACCGATGGCACTTTGCTCATAAACGCTTTGACAGTGCGCACCGCCACACCGGTAGATTCCGCTTGCATCTTCTCAATAATTGCTTCCATCTGTGGGTTTGCAAGAAAGCCATACTGCAGATTATGTTATAATTTCTTTAATAATCGGAATTTACGTTTGATTGAAATTAATACAATATTTACAAAAACTAATGAAGCAGTAAAATATTAGAAATTAAATCTGCTCTCTATTACCGCTTCATCTAAAAAATTCCTCACAGCATGCAGAGAAATTCTACAAATTGAGTTCCGCATATGTTTATATTTACTCTAATAAGTTCATATATATTTCTTATTAAAAGAAATTGTATCATCGATCGGTACTAAACGGCAAGGAACATGAAAGTTTGGCATTGTATAAATTACTCATACCACCCGTTGTCGTTAATAATAGCTCATATATGTATATGTATGAGTATATATTTGCATGTTTTATAAGAAATATGCTTTGTACCGATATGCATTAAACTAGCTTTTATATTAGGAAAACTTCATGTATATACTTTGCTAATCAATAGACAAAGTTATACGTTGTTGAAATGTTTTTATTTAAAAACCTACGAGGCGTATAAGTAATATCCTTGTATTGAAGTCACCCAAACTGTTGCTTTAAACCTGTCGAAATCCCTCCAAATCGTCATAAATGTTCGGACTTAAAATACTTTAAAACATATCATTAGTCAAAAATAGTATATTAACGTTGGTATCGTACGGTGTGAAAATGGGCAAAATCGAAATACAACCACACCTACTTTTCATGTAACACAGTTTAAAATTACGTCTAATTCCTTTATTTTACTGTATATAGAGCAAACATGAATAAAGTTATCGCAAGAAATCTTTATAAAAATAGTGCCCTTAAGGTATGACATCTAATGTCTAAAACTCGGACGAAATTACACCATAACTTATCTAGTATCCAGATATCATATATGTGAAGCTGAGTGCTTAAGAGTTTTTCCGAAAACAGCGGTCAATATCGAAGATAAACAATGAAACTTATAGCACGTACAGGTGCTAAAAATGACTAAAATTGGTTTCCGATGCCTCCATATACTTAATAAAAGGATTTTTAAAATCGGTTGACTTTATACTATATATAACGGGCAATATGTGATTTATCTTAATAAAACTCAGGAAGCATAATTTTCTGGAAACTATATATGGTTTATGTCAAAAATCGGCCCCATATACCTAATTTAAATATTTTCGATCTTTCGGTTGAATCATACCATATGTATCGAATAATGTGTGAGTTGTCTTCTTAAAATGAAAATATGTTCCCGTATATACTTGAGTTATGTATTTTAGTCCTGATGCTCATCTAGCCCCAATAGACACGTTATAGTGATTTCCATCCATTTTGACTATTCATCTGACTTTATAGCACTTATTTATGTTATGAAAACTTGATTTAAATATATCTTTCGCAAGAGTATAAATTGTTCGGTTACATCAGAGAATAGCTCTTTCTTCTTTGTTTAATTTTTATTTTTTATTTTTTTTTAATTTTTATTTTTTTTTTTTGGTTTAGCCCAAAAAACAGTACACTAATACGCTATGTTTCAAAATTTTTTCTAATAAAGTTAAAACCTTAAACTGAAAATAAATATATTATTAAACTAAAAGCAAAAGATATTAAGTAGAGAGATATGTACAAAAGCCAATTACTAATTCATAAAATAGAAAATTTTAAATAAAAATAGCATAAGTATTTTTATATGTGAAATACGGAATTAATAAATTATCGTAAACTTTGCGAACTGAGCAATAACTTTTTTGTTAAATTCTATGCGGACAAAGTCGCGGTCACAGCTAGTAATGTTTGAGAATTATAACACATAAAAATACAGTTATACTATTTATTGCTCATACGCACAAGTATTTCCTCACTCCCTTGTCATTGATGACCGTCAACAGAAAACTAAAACCCTAGCGATTAGCCTTACATATGTATAAATTTTGGTTCGGTGAACTCGAATTGTTGGTGCTAAATCTGTTGAATATTTCAGCTATTCAGTACAACAAATAAACATACATATCTAATATCCGCTTAAACACTATCACTAATTGTTTATATGCATTCGTGTCTTTTTGTATTGTCGCTTTTTGATTACCTTTTTGTACACCATAATATTGGGCGCATCTTCGTTGCGACGCTGTTGTGGGTGATTTAGAATGGCGCCAGTGGTGAGTGAAGGCTTCGCTCCAGGCAGCGCAGTATGTGAGCCGTCCGCGCCGCCGCCACTGCCATTGCTGGCAGATGATTTCCCATGTTGAGCGCTTTGTTGTTGCTGTTGCTGATGATGATAATGACTGTTGCTCACACCTAAACCGGCACCGCCACTACCATTGGCAGTGTTGCCACCCACGGCAGCCGGCGTAGACATGCTGGTCACACTGCTGGTGCTGTTCGTACTCGACGTACACGTGCTATTGCTTGTGTTGCTGTTGGTGCTATTCACGCAGAAATTCACCTTTGGCGTTGAGGATGATGATATTGATGATGATGTGGTGGTGGTGGTTGTGCTGCTGGCTGCTATTGTTTTGCCAGTTGCAACTGTGGCGGTGGCGGTGACTTTGGCTGCATCGGTGGCAGCTCGTGTAACGCTTGCTGCAGTGAATGTTGTTGTGGTGCTTGCTGTAGTGTTATTGTTTTTTCTGCTGTTTTCGCTTTTGACAACAACATGTTCATTCATTGTGACACTTGTGGTGTCTGTAACGGTAGTTTTTTCGTTACACTTGGTGACTGCCGCCGTTTCAGCGCCTGCGGTAGATTTGTCTGTTGTTGTTGTTGCAGTTGTGGGTGCTGGCGTTTCTACAGCTGTTACAGTTGTTATTGGTGTTGCTGATATATTTGCTATATTCATAGGTGTGGCAGGCTGTGGCGCAACGACGGGCGTAGTTACCGTTTTGGGCGTTGCTCCCTGCGGTGTGGTTGGCGTAACCGGTGTGGCCGGTGTTATTGTTGTGCATATAGCTGCCTCAACGGCCGTTGCAGGCGTCGCAGCTGTCGAAGAGTCATCTTCACTTGCCAATTCAATCGAAATTGTAACACTTGATAATTCTAATGGCTTTAAATTTGTTGCAGTTGTTGTTGTGATTGCGGTTTTCGCTGACCCTTCATTACAATTATCGGCCGTTACGTTACTTGCTGTAAGAGTTTGCGCTGCATCCTCACCATTGTCACCCTCAAGCGCTATGCGTTGGCGTTGGCCCATCTCCTCAGCTCGAATCGGACTGTTTGCACTGGCAGCGGTTTCGGCTGCCGACTTCGCAGCCAAGACGATTGAAGTTTGCGTTTTGTCCACCTCTGAAGTCATCGTTACCATTTTTTCATTGATTAGGAGTTAGTGTGCTTGAAATCTCGCCGCACAAGTATACAAACCAACTATGTATGTATGGGTATATACATGCATACACACATATATCGAAAACAATTTCAATTCCTTTTAATTAATTATCACCGTTAAAATTACTTTCCATTTGTATTTCGTTTCACAAGTCTACACAAAGACATTTGCCGATTTGCAGCGCTGGGGATTGTATGAATTACACGCTACGATAACGGTTATACGCCAAATGACAGTATTAACGACCGCTCGCCGACCGACCGACCGACTGTCGCTACAAGGTGCACAGAGGGCAGCAAAAGCTAAAAAAGTCAGACCGAACTGCCGTTGTCGGAGTTGTAGCCGTTCATAGGGAAAGCACTCTAACACACACACACACACACTTACCTACATACACGCACACACATATGTACTCGTACACGCTCTGAGTGCGCAACACTTAAGACATTTTTTATTGGATATTTATTTTTATGGCCGCTGCTGTTGCATTTGTTGTTGCTGTTCAAAACAGCGGGGTTGGGTCGCAAGTAATTGCTGTGCTCTCTGCGTCAGCTACCTTTCACTCGGCGCTGTTCCTGTATGCGCATATATACTTGTATGTATGTAGCGTTTTTCTTCCTTTTTCCTTACGCACTCGTAGAAATTTTTCCGTATAGCCAATTATATGCAGACTATTTTACATTAACCTTTTGGTATATTCACTTTCAATGTAGTAACTTTTAATTTATTATTTAGTAATGCGTTTTAGTTTCAATATTATTTCACATTTTAATACACAAAAGCTGACTGTTGTATCTATATTACAAGAGTTATGTATTAATATGTTGCACTGTTAGATATTTCCTCCTTTGCACACCACACATAAATTCGAAATGTCACTTTGCCACTCGAAGCTGCCTAACACTGGCACTGGCAATGGCACCGCCACTACTCGTGCGCTGAGCTTACTCGTTTCCTCATTTCGGTTAGCATTCGTTTGCTCGTTGGTGGCGCTCCTTTCGTGTCACTTGTTCGTGGCAATTTGCTCATCGTTTATTAATGCCGATAAAGTTATTTTTGTAGGTTTCTCCATTGTTGTTGCCAATTTTATGGTGTGTGCGTCTTTCAAGTGTTTTGCTTCAATAGTTTGCTCTCTGGCGGCAAATTTCCTGTTCTCTATTTGACTACTTCCCGCTCTCGTTTGCGCGTCGGCGCTCTGTTTTTCCGTTAGCTGCATTAACGGTGTTGCCACAAGCTGAAATTTCTTAGGTCGCTTAATACTCAGATAAATATTTTGAAAAATATAGAAAATTTATGTGTTGCGTGGGTTAGTTAATATTAGTTAAGGTTTTATCTAACTTTAACCCCTTAAGTGTCGGCTTGTAAGTCAGATAATAATCCTTTTTTGTGAATTATCTTTGAAAAGCATTTCATTCAATAAATACCCTACAAAAATGTACATTTACATAATTGAATCTACTCTAATGATCTGTGTTTAGTTTTTGAAAAATTTACGATTCCTTTGATTCTTTAGCTGATCCCAAAGAGGACCTACGAAAAAAGTTGTCTGTCAGTGAGGAAGGTTTTTCTAATTAAAATTACCTCAAATCCAAAAATCCACAAATAGTTTTATTACTACAGATTAAAACAGTTAATGATTGAAGGCATGAAAATTTTAATTTTTGACCAAATGGCCACTTCCTAAACAAAGTCGGTTTTTGTGAAAAAATTTATATTTCAGTTTGGCTTTAAAAATCGAAATTTTATTATTTCGATCATTAGTTGATAAATATATGTCTGCACGGATTGCGTGAAAATTTGAAGTCGGTCGGTTTATGCGTTTCGGAGAAATTTTCCTCACCGACTCTGAAAACAGTGTTTCGAGAGAGACTACTCGTAAGTTAAACAATTTTTACACATTCGCTCCTATCTCCGAAACTATTTCCCGTATCACCCCAAATATATGATAAATATTTCGGAGAATATTCTAAAATACACATACAAGTACATACATACGCTTAAAAATCGTTTTTCTAAAATTCACAAGTCAAAGAAACGATTAGCTGACGTAGGCGTAACTCATGATTTTAGATGTAATCGATTTCGCAAAAATCTTGGAATAATGCATGAGTACAGCATACAGCTATCAGTTTTGATTTTTTCCAAAATTTGCACTGCCGTAAATACATTTTCTTATTAAATTTTCTATTTGATATTAAATAAAAACTTAGGTTGGGCTATAACCTTGAAATGATCTCAAGGTACCTGGATATACCATACAAGTATATCTATATATACAATAATATATCCTCTATAATTGCTAATCGATTTATTTCTCATTTGCCAGTCACCGACTCGACTAGAATTTTATTGAAACACTGGTAGTCTGTGTAAAATGGAAGGGCACTCTCAAAATTGATCCTAAATACTGCATTATTAATAATTAAATTTTTCTACAAAAATTATTCCCAAGCATATTATTCCGGTTTTGAAAACATAATCTGGCAACACAGCATCAACTGCTGTTGAATAAAATTCTCATGGATGTGAATATGTCCTAAAATATTTCCGTTTTTGGTTTGAATTGATTTTTACGCTCTTTTCCACACAGTTCACCGCAAACAGAGAGCGATGAGCAAGCAAAATACAATAGTTGTGCGCATGCGTCATTTGGTGAGCCTAGGACAAAAATAGCATAATTGGCATGAAAGGATGACTAAATGACTAACCGATTAATTGAAGCGGAATGAAAGAATGGTCAAGTGGATGACTGATTACCGCTCCGTTGGGCTGATGTTAAGTTCGAGTGACTGCAAATGGTTGGCCGCATCGAGCAACGACGGGTGTGCTAATGTTTGATAAGCACATGACTACAAATATGCTTTTGTTAATTTTAAGTAGTGGCTTCAGTGTGCGCTGATATTTTCGGGTGTGAGCATTTTAAGTACTTACGACTATTTAATGCCAATATATTCTATCATTACTCAATTTAATATTTTATGTACTTTTGAGGTATCAACAATGTTACTGACTAATTTGGATTTATAAATCTGAAATATTTTTTTTCTGACGACAAATACTCTGTTTTATTTTTTGAAAAGGCAGATAGGCAGTAATTCTTTTGTTTTAATGGCCGTAAACTTTTGTTTGAGGCCAACCGTGTTATCATTATTAAGCTGTATGTTTCCTTGTAACCCAAGCGATTGGCTACGCAGGCAAATTATCATAAAATATTTCCGCCATCGGTCCTCGAGCTAAAAATTAAAAATTAAGAATTTTTTTAGTCTAGAAATATATATTTTGTAGATATAACGAGAATGAATAACGGTATTGGAAATTAAAGGATAGTTGCAGAAGACGTTACTCTTTCATAAGACACCTTAATGACAGCGATCGGTCTATAAATCCGGGAGCTATTCAAGAAAATATTTGACCTCTACTATTCGGTTTTGCGCGCCTGGTACACATCTCAAATTTTTGCATTCAGACAAGAAACATTCCGTTGCACATCATCACCTACACCAATAACACACAAAAATCAATGACGCACACAAAAATCAATGTTTATTGCAGAAACCATGTATGTACATATTTTTAGTAAAAATCAAAGTTCCAACATTTGTCCAAATAGATATTATCAAAGTAAAAAATGCAATAACGTCTTTTATTTACTTATTTTTAACAGAAAACAAAAGCGGGGAGTATGACTACAATTTTACTATTACATTTTTCTTCTGTTTTTCCAATTTTATTTTTTTTATATAGCTATATTTTTTAATTATTTATAAATTTTTTCAAAAGTCCCCTCAAAGCACTTTTATTTGACACCAAAATCATTAAAATCGGTGAAGTTAGCTCAAATTACGGAAAAAAAACATTTCTGGTCTACCATGTTTCCTCATTTTTCACTAAATTCACAAACATCAAATTCTACCAGGCGACCATAAACGCCAGCGGGTCACTGCGGCAAAAAATAAGTCAATTTCTGTTGCATACCTCAAAGGCGCGCACGCAACACAAGCAAGTGGTGGGTAATATAGTGCTTGGCATATTCGCTATAACTTTGAAAAAACTCAATCGATTTCAATGATTTTGGTGGCAAATGAAAGGTAATTGCTACGAAAAAATATTACTTATACGCAAATACTGTCCTGTCACACGTTGGCTTGGCAATTTAGTTAAAAAGAAGCTATTCGAAAATATGCACTACAGTTGAGTGCGTTGAAGTAGAAATGATGTCGTTTAACAGAATATACTTACTAAGTGTATGTTCAGTGATAGGTAACACGAAGATCATTTCATCTCGTTTTGTAAATATAAAATTTCCAGTTTTTATTATATAGTTACACGTTCACATTTGCTACGAAGATATTTCTTTTATATGTGGTTTGTTAATATATATTTACTAGTATGTGATTGCGTAGATGCACGCTTGCCCTTTCATTTGGTGCTTGAATGCTTGAAATTGGTGCCGAATTGTTGGAGTTGGATTCCTGAAAACGTGGCAACAGTCTCTATTTCCGGGTGTTCTGCATCCGGCGGTAAGGCAGGCCTCGTTGCGCCTTTAAGGTAGGCTATAGGAAATAATAATCTTTAATCGGCAGCTACCTACTGCCTCTAGGGTGATTCTGCGCGCCTGGTACAAATTGACGATTTGAAGCGAAAACTTCGTAGCGCCCCTTGTCGCTGGGGTGCCAGATTATATTTTTCCTCATCCTTTATTAAGGATGGTTGCTTTTCTTTGGTATCGTGGATGTAGTATATGATTAATACAAATATTTTGATATATTTACATATAATTTTTTTCTTTTTAAGATTTTGCCCAACTTTTTTGAAGTGCAACAAATGCAAGATTTTTTTTTATGTTCTTTATTGAATTAGTTTTTAGTCTCTAACATTAGGAAAAGATTTTTATTTTTTTATAATTTATTTCTTAATTTTGTATTTGCTATATACATATGTCAGCGGCATCGTGAGTATTTATGAGTGTTTTCTTGGTTAAAGGATGGGATGATTATACTTACACTTTCCTTTTTCCAGCATTATTAAACAGTATTTATTTAATTAGTTGTAATTAAACTATATATTTAATTAATATATATTTAAGTAAGTTTTAAGCACATTGATTATAAAACAAGCACTTTTTTTACATATCGTTCGTTTTTATATAAATTAACTTAATATTATTTATGTTAAAATATGACATTTAAGCAGATGGTTTTTAGTTTTTTAGGCATACAAAGTATTTGCTTCAAACTAAATTTCTAAATAAAGTTAAAAGTAAATTAAAAATTTTTTTGTCTTTTTAATTGTATGTGTTTATACATGCAAAAATCTATTATCTTCTTAATTATCAACACAAAACTGCCAATCCTCAAAATAATGGCATGGTTATGTTATATTATGTGAATTTTCTTATTACTATTGACTTATTCTAACTAAAAGTAATTGGTGTTGTATAAATATTTAAATATGTATGCTTAATAAATTCTTGTTATTTTCTGAGCGATAATACTTTATCGAATCTATTTAATTAGTTTGCTTGCTTAATTAATTTAATTTTGTTTACAAAATATCTTATAGTTAAACAATATTTTTAGTACAAGCTTTTAGTGAAATTATAAACTAAGAAATCTGATAGAAGTAAAGAGTATTTCAAAGTATTCAACTTTATTTAACGTGTTTCGTTAAAATATCACTAACAAGTAAATATGAAATAGTGTTTTTACATTTAACTATGTAATTCTTTATATAGTTAAGTAAAATCGGGTTTCTTAGCTTTATAATGATAGATATGGTATTGATATATGTTTATAGTTATCAATACATCCTTGGTGAATACGGTTTGTATACTTTCATTTTTGTTCTCTGGCAATCTGAAAAGATATGATATTTTGCTGTGTCGAATAACCATGGAATATCACAACATTTCTCTCATCTGTTTTTGACTTTATTTCTTTAGTTTTTTATTTTTAAAACTAAAGCACAACTTATTCTTCGCTTTCGATTCGCACAGGCAATGCTGCCAAGTTTACTGCGGACTGTTTCCAATGCTGGCATTTAGTTAATTTTTTATTTGTGTGTTACGCCACTCTTTAAACCCTCACGAATGGAAGACGATTATTATTGAAATAACTTTTCGAAGAGAATATAGATGTAAGTAAGATATATAAAATGGTAGCTAATCAAAATTTCAATGAAAATTTATTTTTTTAGTGTGGTGGACACAATTTTTAGATTAAATCACAAAATGTTTTTTGATTATACAAGTAGTACAGAGTGTTCAAAGTGCCCGAAATAATGTAAACAATTTGCCAAAAACTCAATTAATGGTAAAAAATAGTTTCAATTAAGATATTGTTTTGTCGTTTAGAAATGCGTTCCACGAACTTATTTTCGGAAGAAAGTCCTTTAATATATATTTATTTTTCTTTGTCCGCCGAAAAAGAAAAGGACTATGCGATTATTCCAATACAATATATATCTCTTTTATCAGAACCAATATTACAATATTTAACCGGTACTTTAAAAAAATTATGTATTTACAAAAAAAAAAAAATAAAAATAAAAAAAATTTGAAAGAGTCTGTTTTCTTATTTATACTATTGTATATTTCACATATTTGTACCTAGTTTATGATTACTAAAGTACTTAGAATTAGTTGTAGATCCAAATTTTGTTTTTTAGTTCCATTAAAAAATTAGTAAATAGTTCAACATTAATGTTTGTTATTCAAAACTAATTATATATATTTTTTAACAGTTATACATCGCACAGCCCTTTAATTCAAAACATTTTCAAAACGAAACCTTTTGTATAAAATTAAATGGACGATTTTTCCAGTAGGCTGATTCGTATTTTGATTATTAGTATTAGAAATAAAGTCCGAAGGATGGGTCCAGAAAATTCAAAGAATAAGAAACATCTCAGAATGTTGCTAATATAATCTATAAAGCTAAATATTTTTTTCAGAGTCGAATGAGTTATAAAAAGTATTGATATGCAACTTTTTGATATTATTGCATCAAAATTTCTGATGCAGGAATGTTGGCCAAACGATGGAACAGGTAACGAAGATTTTGAAAAAATATTTCCGATAACGTTTAGCGAGATAAAAAACTCTTCCCAGTGCTGGACACTTCTGGATGGCTGGTAGAAATGATCGATTTAACTACCAAAATCTGTTATGTTTTGCTGGGCTGTTTAATGGCTGTGAATGGAAAGCCCTTATACTTTTTGGTAGGCATAAAAGTATTACAAATGGAATAATATTGGAAAGATAAATTTCATAAAAGCTTGAATCAATATATATAAAATTAAATGTTTGTTTGTGTGTCCTTTATAGACACGTAAACTATGCTTTTGATCATGTGTTGATCCTTAGCAAAGTTGTTGTGTATGAGCCAAAGAAGGATTTTGAGTTGGTATGACCAATTTTTGATAGATGGCGCCAGTGTCATTCCTATTGTGAAATTTATGTCGGCACACATTGAACAGACAATGGCTGTGCTTTTGCTGGATCCAGTGCACATCGAGTGTAAATTGAGGCAAAAAGAATATCAGCTGATTCTGGGCGCGCATGGTACAGCTAGAAAACTATAAAATGTGATGGAAGTGTTCATAATATTCGTGCAAAACTTGTAAAAATAAATGGTGTGATAATGGAATGATAATTTTTTCCTTCAGGGTTTTTGGACAATGAAATAGTAAAACTATAATAAAAATAGAACTCTTCTAATAAAAAGTCATTCACTTTGACTAACATGCTGGAGCATTTTTCTACAGATTTTGAGTAAAGTTCAGTTAGAAAACATTTTTGCAATAGAGCAGAAAATATAAGAAATAATTTTCTATAAATTATGATGAAAGATGAAGCAAGCAACAAAGGTATAGTTTTAGAGTTTATAAGGTAATTCGGACAGCTGAAATCGATACGCTTAGAATGCAGACAATCATAATTAAGACACAATGCATAATAAGTTAACTAAGGGAAATTTTGCTAGGATAAATGTGAATGGAATTTTTTATTTACTTATAACTTTTGTGTAAAATTTTGACTAATTTAGTTTTGTTGTGTCTTTATTTTGATTTGTCTGGATTTCGAATTCCTTAATTAAGAATGTAGCTGTCATTATAATATAGAGATAATTAAAGAAAAAATATACGAATCACTCATAGATAATCACCAAAATATGTGTTGAAACAAACTTGAATGTGTCAGTATTATTTGGTAGTAATATTGATACACTTTCCTACAACTTACGATGCCTACAACAAACAAGCACCAACGCTGTGACAGCTTAAAACGCTTACAATTTGGCTTGCGCTCCGCTAGGCTTTGCCGCAGCTGTTAATTGGAGAAGTACAATTTGCTTAGTATTAATGAGCAATACGCAGATAGGCAAGTTGGCGGGCAAACAAATACATATACACACATACGAATGTTGGTGCAACGCAAACCGTTAAGATAGGCATACGTAAAAGCGAAAACAGTTGCACGCACAGCAATGCACAAGTGCTCATTCAATCATACAAGCACTCAATCAAACAGCCACTCAGCCAGACACACGCGCGCTGCGTGGCCGTCCGCTGACACTTACACCACAAATAAAACCTTTTTTAGCTTTGCCGCTTTTCCTATCACCGCCACTTTTTGTTTAGTGATTAACATTACCGTTATTGCTGCGCGTTGGCGTTTTCGTATTTGAATTTGCAGTCGCTTTGACGCCCTCATCGCTACGACTTTGGCTGTCGTTGCTGCTGTTATCATTGTTATTTTTGTTTTCGTTGTTGCTATTGTTGTTGTTATTGTTATTATTTTCATTATTACTTCTACCACTGCCGTTGCTATTATTGGAACGCCGATATTTCGGCGCTATGTAATAGAGGCCGTCCTGCTCACCCGTCGCGGCCAGTTGCGGCGGCAGGCGCTGAAAGCCGTTAGATCGATATATCGGTGAATAGACTTGTGGTCGTACCACTTGTGGATGTGAAATGTATTCACTGTCTGGATTGATGGGCGGCAATGGCTGCCGGTAGTTGACCAAAATGTCACGATGCAGTGGAATTTGTGGTTGATATTGACGTGGTGGCGGCAATTGCTGTTGTTGTTGCTGTCGTTGCTGTTGTTGTTGTAGTTGTGGTGGCGCATAGTATTGCGCTTGGTGTGAAAGTGCTGGACCTGGTGGTTGTTGTGGCGCTGTATAACGTTGTAATTGCGGCGAAAAAGGACCTTGCGGTAATGCTGGTTGATAGGGATTAATATATTCCGCGTCTGGATTGAGCGGCGGTCGATTTGGTGCGTAATTCACATATGTATCATTCTCTAAACTCCACAGTGTTTGTGGTTGTTGCTGTGGCTGCTGATAATTAGACTGTGGCGGTTGCCGATAATTGATGACGCGCCGTTGTTGGAAGGGCTCCTCATAGAAGCGATTGTTTTGTCGTGCATGCAGCGCCGGACCACCATAATAGTAGCCATTCAAGCCGCGTTGTTTCGGGGCGAATGCGACTGGTGGCCGCTCAATGCGTTGATACTGCGGCGGTTGCGTGTACTCGTTCAGCTCTTGTTGTTGATTCAATGAAACCCAAGGTGTTTGCGTGGTGACGTGTGTGCGCTGGTTACCTTGGTATTGACGCAGTTCTGGTTCGGCTGAGCGGTATTCGGCTAGAAGTGGTGTTTGCTGTAAATATTTAGCGCCCAAGCGCAACTTTTTCGAACGCCCTTGTGATAGAGGCGCTATTTGTTGGTAAGGCGTATCGGGTTGTATTGGCACGAGTGTGGTGGTCGACTGATAACGCGCTTGTTGCTGTGGTTGTGAGTATTGGTCTTCTTGTTGTTGTTGCTGCTGCAACTGCGCATTCGTTTTCTCAACGTTAATGGCTTGGAAAGAATTCTCGTCGTTCACCGGTGGACTATAGGTGACCATTGGTTTGAAGGGTGCTTCATCATATTCGGCTGGTGGTTGAAAGTCTTCAGCGCCCGCTGTAGGTTGCGCCGGTTCCAAATTCTTTGTTGCATCGAAATTGAACTCGTATATAGGTTTGGCTTTTGGTGTGCGTGGTATGTTGTTGTCACGCAGCTGTTGGTTTTGGTAGTAACGCAGTGTTTCGCGTATCGCATTTACCTCTTCTTCAAAGTTCTCCAGCGGACGTGGTTTGTAGACAGTTGGTTCGATCGGCACTTGTGGTGGTCGCTTGTATCGCACCGCGTCCGGTTTAGGTGTGATGTAGACCACATCTTGTGGCAGGTATGGACGTTGTGGCTGCAACTGCGGCGGCAAGAAGTTGCGTTGGTTTTGCGGCTGTGATTTGAAGGGCCGTTTGCTGGTTGCATATAATTTGATTGGTTTAGCTAGTGCCGGCTTTTCGGTAGTGGAGAGGAAATCATCGATAACATTAGTGGTAACACCATTAGGCTGACGTTTAGCCTCGAAGTATTCATAGTAGATGGGGTTGGATTTCGAAAGTGGTGCTTGGTTATTACGCGGTGTGGTTGATTCATAAGCGATGGCATTCGGGCGCGATTGTGGATATTTGTGGGACGGAAAGATGGGTATATGTACTGCCACTGGCACAGGTATAGCGTGAATGATACCCGGTGGCGACGCGGTCGGTGCGGGCGCCGGTGGTGCTGGCGGTTGTTTACTTGGCTGCACATGTTGTACAGCATGTGGTGGCTCTGGTGTAATGATAATTGTTTTGGGAGAATACTGATGTATTTTCGTGATAACTTTTGGCCGATAGGGCGCCTCAGTTGTGGTTGAGGTGGTTGTTGTTGAAGTAGTTGTTGTGCTTGTTGTGGTAGTTGTTGTACTCGTAGTGGGTGAAGGTGTGCCATAACCGCGATGTCTTGAAGGCGTATGAACTTTCTCGGGTTTCTCCAAACGACTAAACTGATTGGCGGGTGGCGGTAGTACTATTCCTGGCACTAATGGACCCGGCGGCACTGGATTTGTGTAGTTACTTTTATAGACAAAAGTATATGCGGGCGGGTAGTACAATGATGGATCATCTTCATCGAAATAATCGGTACCATTCGAATTGTCTAACGAACCGTTATGTGAAAAAGTAAATGGACCCAGATTTGGGTATGAAATGGGTCGTGCATTATTCAAGAAGGGATTCACGAAAGTTTGGTTGTGATATAGCCACGGCGGTGAGGGTGCCGGGTAGTTGTAACCCGGTTCACCTTGCGCAACATCTTGAGCCGATCCCGGCCGGGTAAGAAGATTTTTCTCGTTGTCACTATCACTTTCGGTTGATGGGTAGTTGGCTTCCGCGCCGGCGGTATAAACTGGTATCGATTCGTTAGCGATCGGATAGACGACCGTGAATTTATTATTTCCGATAAACTGTAGTGGCCCATTCTCCTCGAGCTGGACGGGAAATGGTGGCGGGACTTTTGGATTCGGTGGAATTTTGATTTGTCGACCGGGTGCATCGTAATCGTCGATGGGAGGCCACGGTTCATCCGGTTCGCCCTCATTGAGATTACCACCCTTGATTACAAGCAAATGATCCTCAGCCAGCCAAATGTCCTCTTCATTGAGACCACCAAAAGTGCGTTCATTATCTATGGGTGTCTCCTTATTCGGTAAGTAGCTAATAACACCAGGTCTTTTGGGCGGTCGACGAAATATTTCTTTTTCGATAAGCCCATACTTGCCGTCACGTACTTGATCAGACAGTGTCTTCTTTGATTCGTCTTTACTTTTCTTCGACTTAACGGTGTTCTCTTTGCCTGAGCCGGCACTAAGGCGCAAGATACCGTTATCCCAACTATCGAAATCGCCGTCATCTTCCAACAATGCTTCATCATCGGTATTATCATCATCATTCAACGTGGTGTCTTTGCGATCGGTTTTTGTTAGAAATGACGTTGCTGTTGTAGTTGCAGCTGTATTCGTTGGCGTGACAGCAGTTGTACTTACTTTTGTTAAACGATACGAACTACTCATGGCCAGTTGTCCTCCTTTGGTACGCACATATTGATATGGCGGCTTATGAGTTGTTGAATTACTAGTTGTGCTGTTTGCCGTGATGGCGGAAACCTGATAGGTGGAACGTCCTTCTGCGTTTTGAATGTGACCCGCTACAAGACGATGGATCATGCGTGGTCTGAAATGAACAATGAATAGTGACAAAAGTATACACAACATATAAGGAACCCAATATTGTTAACATCCATCCAAGAAGTGTGATGTAAACAAATTTTTGATGGTATAGAAACGCCAATATTACGAATCACCTGGTTCTTGCAACTCTTTAATATCTTGCGCCCCAGGAAGACTTTGTCCTTTATTAGGTTTAATGTGCATATCTAATAAACCACTTAAGCCAAATTAACAAAATTTTCTCAGTACAAATGTTTTTGTTATCCCCTATGACCGTGAATAGGAGTAAATAGGAAAATCATCTAAACTACTAAAAGTGCGATAAATCAATAAATAAATGCGTTAGAGACATTAAGTTTTATACTCGAGATGGTGCGAGAAGGTTTTATAGGAGCCGTTGTCAAAACTGGACGATGGGCGTAACACCACCCATCTTTAGGTGAAATCACATATCTCCAGACCTACTCGACCAATTTCAACCAAATTTGGTACCTCACATTATTCTGACATTCCTATGTTTTAACAGTACGAAAATTGCCGAAATTGCGATACAATCACGCCTACTTTCTATATAACACAATTTTAAGTTCCATCTAATTCTTTCACTTTCCAGTGTACGAATCAAACACCAATAAATATATTGGCATACAACTTTGCACGAGTAATGCGTTAAAGGTGTGTCACCTTATGATCAAAAATTGTCAAAATGGCACTACAACTGTTCAAGTTCCCTGATACCGAATATGTGGATGCCAGTTCCTATTACGAGCTTTTTACCAAAAATATCCATCAAGCTGTAAAAAGTCAAGCTGTCGAAAGTAGGGTATGAAACATCTATTAACAATTCGATATAAGTATACAGGAGGTATGTGTTTACTACATACGAGCACTTATATTGATGAGCCCTTACAAACAACCTTTAGTAGCACAATAACCCAACCTTCAATAGCCTGGTATACCCGGGTTCGCAGAGATGCTTTTTGCTTGCGTCGGTGCTATCACTTAATTTCAGATGAAATCTTATTTCACTTTGATACGTGGCAACACCCCGCTTATTAAGCATAGCTTTGAAATCGTCGATTTATTTTCCTTTAAAGCCCGGAACTAGAGCTGATTATTAAAGCGTTAAATTCGCATTCACCCGTTTACAATGATAACGCTTGACCCGCAATTGCCCCAACTGCCCACTATTATTACAAATCATGTGTACAACCAAAACAATGAAGCGCTAGCTGCCTGTAAATCTAAACTAAACTAAATGCAAATCGTAAATCGCCAATCATTTTGAGTTTCGTACGTCTGTTTGTTTGCTAAAAATAAATATGTAGGAAAAAGGCAACTCACGATTTTGGTGTCTGCGGCAGACGCGTCGAATTCGCCGTGCCAGCACCATTGTTGTCTGTCTGCAGTGTTGGCGTTTCGCGTTGCACGTTGGTTCGCGCCGCAAAGTTGGCGATTTGTTTTGACTGGCGCTGTAGTGGCGGCTGCTGGTGATGATTCGTCATCGCAACGCTTGGTTTGGAATCAATTGATGACGTTGTACGTAAAGCGCCGCTGCTAGAAGTATTTGTTATTGTAGACGTCACAGATGGCGACAATGAAGCCGTTGCTGGCACTTTAGCTGCGCTTGCCACAGCGCTCGTGCGCGCTACATTGTCGTTGGCATTTTGATAATTGCTATTGTTACTGCCTGGTTGTTGTTGGCCAGCATTATTGTTGTTGTTCTTGTGTGCGACACGCTTTATTTGGCGGCTGTCAATTTGTTTGTTTGTCTTGTTGGCATCAACACTCCTACCGACCGGCGCCACTGCATCTGCATTGGCATTTTGTAAGCTTTGCGTCGCTGCCGCGCTCAGAAAACTACGATTTTGGCGCACATTTGTTGGCGCGCTCTCATCAGCGCCGCGTGTCGGGCGGCGTATTGATGGCGGTGTCGTTACTGTAGCGGCTTTGAAGTTGGGCGCTGCACGACGCGCTGTTTGCGCAAATGACTGCTGCTTCGGCGCGCTGACTGTTGCAGGTTTGATGGTTGTTGTTTTTGTTCTTGCTGTCGGATGCGTCATCACCGTGGTAGGGCGCGGTGTGCGCATGAGTCGCGGCGCACGCAACGATGGTGGCTGTTGTGTTGTTGTCGACGTTGTACGCTTATTAATGTGAGCGGAAGTTGTCTGCTTCCCTTCCGCCGCTGCGTCAACCATATTTTGACTGTGTTGTGTTAGGAACAACAACAGCAATAGCAACGGAAGTAACGTGATGAGCTGCAAGGTCAACGACTTCATCTGCAAGCAAACGCAAAAGCAACAACAGCAAAATGAGTGAAGTGCAAGTGCAACGGTAAAAATCCATAATGAATTTAATCATATAAATTAAGTGATTTGGGGTTTAGGTTTTTTCATGTGCACCATTATACCTGTTAAGTGTGTGTTTGTGTTATATTTATATGTGGCATATAATTTTGCTTAACTAAATAATATGTACATAGATCGTGCAACAATTTGCTGCAAACAACATCTACCGATTTTAAGCGCGTGTTTCAAACCATCTCTTACAACAATAATAAAAATCGTAAATAAATTTGAAAACTTCCCCTCTTACCACCCTCTTTGCCTATGTCTTCGTAAACAACTTATGCTAAGCCGTTATTGGCGCGAATCGTGCAGCGCGCCGAAACGATTTATGGTAATTAGCTGTAATGGATTCCACCATCCAACTATTCATGCAACCACTTGGGCATCTATAAGCGCTGGGGCTGTGCTGGTGGTTGTCTGCCTCAAATTACCAGACAGAGCGCTGTTGTTGCTGTTGCTCATCTCTTATGCTCGGTCAAACGCTGCAGTATTTTTTGGCCTGCCTGTGGATACATGTTTGTTGGTGTGTGTGGCACGTGCGGCATAAATTTCAATGTTTACTTTACAGATTTATTTATTACGTTGCAAATTGTGTGAATGAGCATTTATTTTGTTTAATGCCGTTAAAAATTGTTATTATTAATTCTGACATCAATAAAGAAAATATATGCGAAAATTTTTGTTGAACTTTTGAATATTTTATATATTATGGATTTCTTGTTACTACACCTAGTATATCACTTAAATTGATACATTTTTTGTTTTTATGAAACTTCGAATGATAAATCGAAATTATTGTAAAAAATTAAGGATTTTGCACAAAAAGTAGAACATTAAATCATATATAAAATATGTATAATTTATATGTATCTTATAAATTTTTAATGAGCTTTATAAGCCAGGTTAAGTAAGAGTTTTTTATATGAAGCCTGAGGCGGATGTTATTTCTTTGTCTTTATGATGTTTTCTGTGTGTAAATTCTAATGGATTTAGCGACTATTTTATAAAAAAACCAAACAGAAAAAATTGGAATAGTTTTTTATATCTAAATGGAACTTGCTAAAAAAACCGAAGGCATATATATTTTTCAACCCAATTCAGTCACAGAGAACCAACAAAAGATATTCAGTTTAACTAGGCATTCACAGAGTCAGCATCAACTACTTGGTGAAGGGCAAAGCAGTCACATGGAGCCACTACGCTGAATTATTGGGATGATTTGATGGTACCATTTGGTGAAGAAAAATTACTCTTCCACCATGGCAACAAACTGGCTCCGCCGTCGCCAGAACCAAATTGGACGAATCAGGCTATCAATTCTCCAGATTTTACCCTATGCGACTTCCTTTTGTTTCCAAACATTAAAGAGTCACTTGCCGTGCAAAAATTTGAGTGGCAAGAAGATGTTTTCACCACCTACTACTACTACTTTTCAGACCGCCATAAAACGCTTTTTTCAGATGTATTAAATAAGGTCTAATACATTTGAGTCAAGGGTATCAAGTAAACAGGAAACTGTCGCATTTTGGTTCAAAAAATTCAAAGTTCTTTTGTAGTCTTATTACTATTGTAAAACAATAATAAAAAATACATATATACAATTATATACTACTTTCGAAATTAATATGAAAATGCCAAGAAAAGCTTCAGTTTCATATTCATAATTTTCGTATAAACTGTAAAATGACTAAGAAAAGGCAAGAAAATTATTTAGACTACGAAAATAATGCAATAAAATTGCATAACTTTTTAGGTGACTTTTGTATCTTTGATCAAAAACCAGCACCACAGAGCAATATTCCAGATTTTTTATGCACCTTTTTTTTTTTTTGGTTTTTTTGTAAATTTTGTAAGCATTTTGAGTTTGATTTTATTTGCTTACTTTTATTCTGCATTGGCTACAAGTAGCTGGATCCAAATCATTGGAAGCGCGAGCAAGGCAGTGGGTAAAACAAAGAGAGGTCTGCAGACAAATTAAAGTATCGCAGCGGCTGCAACGCTTTCAACAATAATCGGCATATAACAACCACAAAGCAGTTAAATCGAATGCAATTAATTAGATCTACTGGTACACTTTTTCTATTTGCCTTATTGAAACCGGTTCTGAGTAACTGAAATATTTCGGCACTCTGACTTCGTTGTCGTTGCAATTTCAATGAACCCACTAACTGTACTTGTGGACGAGTAAGACATACATACGTACTAACAATTATGCGCTATACCAGGCAGTTATATACATATATGCTCGTATACAAACGAATGTAGGTACGTATATATATATACCTATATATACAGTATATAGCATATATATATATATATACTACGGTGTCTAACGACCTGCATAACGGCTATATATAGTAAAACAGCAACAAAAGTTGTTATCAAAGCGAACCTGCATTAGAACAAATCAAGTTTTTATACCCTGAACAGGGTATATTAAGTATGCCACGAATTTGTAACACCCAGAAGCAAACGTCGAAGACCCTATAAAATATATATATAAATTATCAGATGAGTCGATTTAGCCACGCCCGTCTGTCTGTCTGTCTGACTATACGCGAACTAGTACCTAAGTTTTGGAGATATCGATCTGAAATTTTGCATGCATTCTTTTCTTCTCAAGAAGCAGCTCATTTGTCGAAATCGCCGTTATCGGCCCACTATAAAATATTGCTGTCATACAAATTGATCAATTAACATCATTATTATTATTTTTTTTTTACATTAACATGTCCTTGCATGGACAACTTTTTTTATTTGACGAGATATTTAACGAAATTTTGCATATATTGTTTTCTAAGGCAACGCTTCAATCTTCGAACATATTTTTTAGATCGGATCATTATAGCATATAGCTGCCATACAAACTGACCGATAAAAATAAAGATAAAAATATTTTTATTTATGCAGCTGTGAAGGGTATCATAACTTTGGTGCAGCAAGTTAACGTTTTTTTTTCTTGTTTTATTCTGGTATTTTACTATTTTTTTGCTTTTCTTTTTTGTAGTCTGATTCATTTTTTATTTTTATTTTTTATTTATAACCAACACTGTCAGTCAATTCACCCGCCTTCAACGTTAACAACGTTCAATTCGCTAAATTGTCAATTTTACTGCCATTTTAGTCAATAGGAAATACACGTGACTCCCTTCTCCCTGAGTAGAATCAGAAAATCCGCGGTGGTGAAAAATTCCATTGACCGCTCTGAAATGAAGTTGTTAACCATAGCCAAACATGACATTTGTGATTTATGTCAACATATTGTGGTCGGCGCTAAGACACAGTTAGCAACAAAAACAGCAGTTCACTGCAGCGACAAACCTACTTAGTCGAGCTCATGCAGCTTTCAATTGAGGTTACTCACTACGAGTCATCAGATTGCTACCAAAATTGGTTGGAACGTCATTGGATGGCGCGTGCAGACGCTTACAACTTGTATTATATATATTTATTTTCGACTATATCTCATTCATTCATTTCTTCTTAAAGGCAGTAGTTGTAATTCATCCGCATGGCAGCCATGCGGTCACGTATACTCTTATAGTACAGATGCCGATTATTGGCGATGATGACTTTTGGGATGACTGGGCCAATACAACTTGCATGTAAGTGTGTTTGCAAATGTAAATATGTATATGTGTCTCGATACTAAAAGTTATCTTTTAAAAGCTTTGCTGTGCTTATTGCATTAAGTAGTTTATTGTGATTGTCTCTTTCATCAAGCGTATTATTAGTGCAAGTTCAATGTCAAATACCAGACTAAGGACGGACTTTTGAGGTCATGTACATAATGTTTTCTTTCTTTACTTGTAATGCAGTGCAATAAAATTAATGGTCTCATTTGGTTTTAGTGCATTTTTATTCAAAGCTTATATTTTTTTTAGTTAGTTTGATTAAGTAAAGTTTGTATTCCAGACTTTCATTTAATTAAGTCAATAGTTTGAAAACAAACTTTATAAATAATAGGTCCTTAGTAATCTGTATCTCACGCTGTTGTGCGATTGTATTACTCAAAATGTCGTTAGAGAGAAACGATTTTTTACTACAAAAATCTCAGGCAAATCAAAGATGCACCAGGACTTTTAAGCCCAATTGTCAAAAATATCGGAATAATAATGGAAATTGTCGAGTTCCTCACAGAAGCTAAACATCGCACTACAATCCACTTAAAACCATTTAATAAGGCTGAACATAAAAAGAAGCTCAATGTATGGGTGTCATGCGAGATAATGCAACCAACTCGATCCTTTTCGAAGCGGATGGAAACTGGTGACAATGTCAAGCGAAAATGGTCATGGTTGAATCGCGTTGAGCCGGCGCAAGCTGTGGCGTAGGATTGACTCTGAGCACTGTAAATTATGAAAACATCTCTCAATCACGCACGTTCCTCTTGAGTTTTGAAACAACTAATCAAAAAGAAAAGAGACATGAAATATGCAAAAAAAAGGGAGAGCCAACTTCCTCCTTCTTCGTTTTGGGAAAATGAAGAATTAAAAAAAAACGTAGCGTTTTTTTTTTGCTTTGAAATTAGCTTATACAAGATATATTTAAAATTGATGACAGATGACAAAGTCACAGCTATTTTAATACAAGAAAAAGTGGTCAATTGTTCCATTTTTACAAAGAGCATATATAAAATTTTGTGGTAAATTTGCAAAAAATTTGCTGAGACATACGAATTGACGAAAACTTTTATAGTGATGATTTAGTCGTACTCAAGTTTATTCGTGATTTAAAAATGATCGTGAGGATTTGAATGACAACCAAAAGCGAGGACATCTAGAAGCTAGTAATGGTGCTGAATTGGTGGAAAAAGTCCGTGTAATTATTGGTAACGATACAAATTATACTTCCAGAATGTTAACTGAGAGATTAAATACGAGTAAAAACAATATTTAGGGAATTTTAACTCAAGATTTGGGTAAAAGAGA